AAAATTCCAGTTTAAAATTAAGAAAAAAAAATTTAAAATCTTTGAAAATTTCTAAAATTCACCAAAATCTGTCTAAAAAATAAAAGTAAAATAATTTTGAGTCTAAAATACAATGAAATCAAAATTATTTTAAGAAATTCTATTATTATTATACACATTTAGTTATGATTTATCAAATTATTTTAAACAAAAATAGTCAAGTCACTAAGTTTTAAATAATAATCATTTGATTGATTGATTTTTATGAAAAATTAAAATTAAATATTTTTTATGATGAGTTTTGAAGTAATTTGTATTTTTTATATTTGAATAATATATTATTTATGATTTGTCAAAATACCTAATACAAAAACAGTCAAGTTCTCTAAGTATTTTATTTTAGATCATTTGTTGAATTGGTCGACGATTATAAAAAATTTGTTATTACGCAAGGAAATTTAAATTTAAAAATATTTTTAGTACTATTTTGACATTATTTATATTTTTTGCATTTATATAATATATTTCTTTATGATTTGTCAAAATATCTTATACAAAAACAGTCAAGTTCCACAAAAATTTGATTATTGATAGGTCGATATCAATATATATTAGAAAATATGTTACAATTCAATGAAATTTAAAATTAAAAATATTTTACGATGAGTATTGAAGTAATTTGCATTTTTTATATTCTTATAATCTATTTTTGATTTATCAATATCTTTTATAAAACAGTCAAGTTCTTCAAGTATTTTATTTTTGATCGATTTCTGTCTAAGATTAGAAATATGTTATTACTCAAGGAAATTTAAATTTAAAAATATTTTTAGTACTATTTTGGTAATATTTATATTTTTCACATTCAGATAATACATCTAGCTTCCTCTTTGCAAAATATCTTACTTCAAAACAAGACCAAAACATTTTTATTATCCATAAAAAAATGAAGAATTAAAATATGTGCGATGATATCTACTTATGAAATATATTGGTGTCCTAGGAAATTTAGAATTAAAAATATTTCAAAGTAAATTTTGACTGTATTTATATTTTTTGCATTCAGATAATATATCTAGTTTCATCTTAGCAAAATATCTTACTTCAAAACAATACCAAATTTTTTTTATTATTAATCCAAAATAAAGAATTGATATATGGGTAATTACATCTACTTATGAAATATGATGTTCAAGAAAATTAAAATTGAAAATATCTTAAGAGGAATTTTGATATGTTTTATATTTTTAATATTTAATTTATATATTTATCTATGCTTTGTCATAATATTAACGTCAATACCAAAAAGTTTTTATTATCAAATTTAAAAAATAGGAAATTTATATATGGATATATGGATATCTACTTAAGAAATATTATCATGCCCGAAAAAATTTAAAATTAAAAATATTTTAAAGAAAATTTTTGAAAATTTTATATTATTATTTAGTATATATATTTATTTATGATTTGTCATAATATTAACGTTAAAAACAGTCAAGTTCCGTATATTTTTTATCAATCCAAAAAATAAAGAATTGATAAATTGATTGATTGATTGAATTGATCTACTTAATGTTCGAGGAAATTTTAAATTAAAATATTTCAAAGCTAATTTTTACCAATTTTATATTTTTATCATGTACGTAATATATTTATTCATAATTTACCAAAAGGTTTTACTCGATGACAGTCAAGTGCCAAAAATATCTGAATTTTGTTCTAATTGTTGATAGATATCTTGATCGATAATTTTGATATTGGAATTAATAGTTTTAGAGCACTATTTTGGTAATAAATCATTTTTTTTGTAATTTGTATGATAAATTTATCGACTTTTTAACATTACATTATAACACATGAACAGTCAAGTTACAAAAATATTCGAGTTAGAAACTCAACAAAAAAAAACACCCAAATCCAAAAAAAATCTAGTATTAATAAATTCTGAGTCACTTTATGTCTGAATAAATTATTTTATGTTTTTATTTTATCAAATTTTGATTATTAGGAAAATTTTCGAAAGAATCATTTGATAATTTAGAAAAATATAATTTTGGATGCAATTTAGTCGTTTGTTTTTGGACCTACTAGATATTTGTAAAACAAAATGCATTGCTTTTATTTTTCCAGAATTTTTGGCACCATTTAAGCAATCTGTTTTGGTTTTAAACAAACGACAAAATTTTAGAAAATCAATACAAAATTATCAAGTATAAATTTAATTTCACATCATGACGTAAAAAATTTATTAAGTTTCAAAATTATTTTATCCAAGGTAAGAAAATTAAATAGATACATTTGTTTTGTTTGAATTATTTAAATTTACTAAAAAATCGTAATAAATTTATTTGAATAAATTCTGAAAGTTGTCAATTATAAAATACAGTTTGACAAGATGTTTTACTAAAAACTGAAAATACAAAAACCAAATATTTATTCTCTGTTAAATTTTAGGACAAACTTTAGCAAAAAAATAGTGCAAAACCTAGTATCATCCAGTATCCTTTACTCATCCATCCATCATCAATTGTAGAAAAATTGATTCAGACACCAACTGGTAGCAGTAAATACATCGATGTTTCCTGTTTTTTTCTCATTTGATCAGCAAAGATCCAGATAAGCCATTGGAAATACTAAAAGACTTTAGCCACTGGTACACTTGCTTTTGTCCAGAAACAGCAATTTGATCGTGGGCCAAATCGGATAATTATTACCAGAAGTCGAAGACCAAGGACAAAAATCTTCTATATGTGTACTGGAAGTCTTGAAATCTTCTGGTGCTATAAACATGATACAAAACCAAGTGATCCTGGTAAGATACCAATACTGGTCCGTATTCTCCATCGAATTAACAAGAGTCTCTAGAAAGTATTAAAAGCATCTGTTGCAGAGAGCCAAAACACTAGTTCAAAACCAGTATTTAAGTTTTTGGTTCCATCTGAAGACATCTAGCAGTAGCTGCAGATCGAGGTAAATGAATCTTTTACATGTGTAGCAAGTTTTGAGAGAGCTTCTCAAAATGGATCAGAAACTGCAAGCCTTCGAGACCCTCCAGATTCCCAGATATTTGTGGCAGGTGGTAATAGAAACTTTAATTTTTTTTGCTGATGAAGCTTGTTCTCGAGGATCTTTGGCGCTTTCGGCTTTGAACTAAAATACTCGTCCTGAAGCACCAATTTAATTGTTGGTATCATTCAAGGTCTTTCAGCAGGAAAGAATCAATTATGAAGAACGTGCACCAAGAGCTAGTAAAGTTTTAGAAGCTCCCTGAAATGAATTCTTGGGTACCATCAAAATAGTCTTGTACTTGTCCGAAAGCAGCAATTTTTATGTTCCTTCAATTCAGAAGACTTTTACCAAAAGCCGGTAGTTATGGAAAAGAATCTTCTGAATATGCACCGAGTTGTGAAAATGCCTGGAACTCCAAATTTGTTTGTAGAACCGATAGTCCTGGGAAAACTTCAACACCTTTTGCGGCATCAAAGGCTCCTATTATATCTTGGTTACATTAGAAGACATCAACCAAATGGTGGCAACATTTGGGAAATGATCTTTTAGATGTGCATCAAGATTTGCAGGTGAATCCTTTATAATTTTACATCGGAATCTAAGATCTTGTGTGAAATGATTCCAAAATTTGGACAAAACTGAAGTTTCTTAGACAGAGTTTTCTTAAGGATGATATTTGATGAAACCTGATGGCACCTTCAAATGACGAGAATCCGAAATAATCATTGATGTTTTGTGGATTTTAATTAACACAAGTTGTTCAAACTAAGATATATGTTGCCTCAGTGTTAGTTTGCCAAAAAGTAGGACTTTTGGAAGAATTCCCAGAAAAGTACAAAGTATCTTGGTAAATTTATCATTGGAGCAGATTATTGCGATTTATTTACCTTGACTTGTTCCACTTTGATCAAAGTCTTGGACGAATAATTTTTCTTCTTTTGATGATGCTCTTGTCAATTTTTGTCTAAATTTTTTCAAATAATTTTTGGTTGGATTGAGCGTCGGCTTTTATGTTGAATTTTATGTGAAATTTTGTGTTAAATTTTCTTTTTTTTTATATTTATATTTATATTTAATTTTTGTTTGTAATTGGTGTCTGGTGTTCCGTCGAATTTGCCATTGATTTAAATTTGTTTAAGAATTTTTTTGGGATCTTTTCGACTTTCTGAATTTTTCGCTTGAATTTTGAATGGTTTGGTTTTTGTTTTTGGATTTTTTGACCGACTAAGATTTTGTATGGTGATTTTGTTTTGTAATCGGAGTTGTCAATTGAATAAAACAAGAGATATTTTTGTAATCGTAGTATTCTTTTATGTTTTCAGAGTTTTGGTATTTTTATATCTAGATAATTTATTTTGTATGAGAACAGTCAAGTCTTACAAATTTTTTCTTATATAAATGTTGATCAAATAATGATATTGACTTTGGAAAAATGGTAATTCAAATTATTTAGTTTATTTAATATATATTTTAGTTTATATTTAAGAGATACTAAATATTACAAATGTACAAATTATACAAATGTTTTTTTTATCTAAATTTGATTAATTATTATGATATTGTATTTTTGTTTGTTTTTTGAAACATGTAAACTTATTTTATACTTATTGTGTATTTATTTTATTTATTGTAGTTTGCATTATTTTAGCAAACTGTTAAGATTTTCACTAATAAAAATAAATAAAACCATAAATGTCCCTTATTGATATTTATTACTAAAATGTAAAATTTAAAACAAAATTGTATTGCTACTAAAAATAAAAAAACGTGCAAAAATAAGACATATATAAGCTATTATACGTAACATATTTTTTTCCATTTCTTCCCATTATTTGGCACTTTTCTTAATTTTTGTTCATTGACATCCTGTTCGTTCACGTTTTGTGATTTTTTCCCATTTTTCCAATTTTGCCTATTTTTCTGTAACTTTTTTTAATTGGCACTAAACTCAGTTTTTACATTATCATGTGACTTTTCCTTTTACTGTCAGTTTCCTATTTTTTTTTTGTTCATTCGCATTCACATTCCAAAGGATCAGTAGCCTTCATGAGCCACTCGAAAGTTTTTCTGTCTTTTAATTTTTCCAAAACTGTACCAACTGACAATCTCACTTCTCGATGGTAATTGTCTATGCAGTCGATCTAAGGAAAAAAATAGGATAGAAAGGATTCAGGATAAGGAATAAGGAAATAATGTGCCTTATGTCAAATTTAAGAGAAAACTGTAAGACTACTAGGGGCAAGTGGCAGTACCTAGCATGATTCCCAAATCATATCTGCCAATCAGTTTTCAGAATTGGTTCAAGATTTTTAGTAACCGTTTTCGAAATAGCTTTACAATTTTGCTCTTTTAGTATCTAGCACGATTCCCAAATGATATCTACGAATAAGTTTCCAAAATTGGTTCAAGATTTTTAGCTACGACGAGTTTTGTACTTTGCTCCTCAACGTGTTTTTTAACATTTTTAAATTTGATGCAACCGTTTTCGAGATAACTTCACAATTTTGCTCCATCATTATAATAATAAAAATTTCCTACCTCTTCTCGTGTCATCAGTTTTAAATCGATCAACTTCCTATCGACTGGTACCATGGTTATAGTTTCGAATTTGATGGCACCGACTCCAAAAAAGTCGCCTGGAACTTCGGCAGACACTACTTGCATCACGTCTTCGATTCGCATACCATACTCGTCTGCCATATAAAACCCAGGCTCTAAAAAGATAAAAAAAATAAACTAAAATTATAAAAAAAATATTGGAAAATTATTATCCTAATATTTTTTATCGAGAAATCTATACCAAGAAAGTTTTTGCTGAAAATCTCTGCATTTTTATCAACACTCCTAAAAGCATTGCATTCAAGTTGTCTATCACATCCAATCTTTATTCAAATTTTTTGAATTTTCGACACATTCACTGCCATACCTACCCCTGTGCCCAACATTCTTATACATTTAAATCTAACTAAAATTATTTCTAAACTTGTTTCAATTGCCATTTCTATTATCTCACGCAGCATGTGCGTGCGCAGCAGCAAATTATCCTAATATTTTTGATCGAGAAAATTATACCAAGAGACTTTCTACTGAAAAACACCAAATTTTTATCAAACCTTCTACCAATATTAATTGAAGATCAAACCGCAATATTTTACGTAATTTAAATTCCAATTGTCCCACCAATCTAATATTAATTTACAATTTTGAATTTTTAACACATTCACTGCCAACTTTGCATTGCTTAAACCTACGCCTGTAACTAACTTTCAATTATAGGTTTAAAACCAATTAAAATCATTTCTAGACAAGTTACCTGAAAACATTACCAAAATATATGAAATAAGTCTATTTCTATTACCTCACGCAGCATGTGCGTGCGCAGCAGCAAATGCGTTAAATAACTTCACTATCGCTTACCATTTGTCAAAAACCTATTTCAGGTCTTATTATCTGAAAACTGTACCAAAATATATGAAATAAGTCTATTTCTATTACCTCACGCAGCATGTGCGTGCGCAGCAGCAAATGCGTTAAATAACTGTACTATCGCTTACCATTTGTCAAGAACATATTAGGCAGCATCCCAGGATCGTCGTCCATTTGTGTCCTGTAAATTCCTCCAGGATATTCGTGAACTTGCAAACAACTTCCTATTCCGTGACTAAGGCCGTGCAGAAAATCCTGGCCGACGTCCCAGAGATATCGACGGGACAACCCTTCAAATCTAGCACCCTAGAAAAAAAAACTTTTGTCATATCAAATAAGAAATTGAAGAGACGAGAGATCTTTTATCTTAGAATTAATCCTAAAGGTAAATTTACGTGCTAAATTTGGTGGCGCCATCTGTGGATATTGGAGACAACTAAAATTAAAGTAATGGTGAAGCAACAGTGTTTGCAATCTATTTATACTAGTTTTATTTATGATTAGGTATTTTAAGATTGTTATTTTATTTATTTATTACTTACTGGGCATCCCTTAGGCAGGACCAAGGTCCTGATGGCAATTTGACCCTTAAGGACTCTTGTAAACATTTCTTTTTGTTCCGGAGTCGGATTTCCAAAATGTATTGTTCTTGTTATATCGGTTGTACCGTCTCTGAAAATAAAAATAATAAACTTAGTGTAAGTGGCATTTTGATAATAATTAATTATATGACATATTATTCTAAATATATAGTAAATAGTTATTTTTACAGACAAGATTTAAACAAAAGTTCTAGCTTTTCAAATTGTGGTGATAAAATGTTTAATTTTTTTGTTTGTTTGTTTAAAATGTTTAGTTTGCTTTTTTCCAAAATTTGATTGCTAAATAATGTTTTTTACGATCTATGCATTAAATTGGTTCTGGATTTTTCGCAAAAATGAGAACAATTCTTTTCTAAATTTCATTGGTCAACGATTCAGAATGACTTGGAACATCGTAAAAACAACATAAGCTTCCCTAAGGAAATGTAGTAAATTATTTAAAGTATTTGAATTTTTATAATTATTTTTTGAAAAAGTGTTAGAATCTTTTTAGTTAAGAACAAATCCCAATTTTAATTACAAAGAACAATAATAAAGCTAAATGAAACCTAGTGTGTTATAATTGTACTACATCGATTTTATTCATCGTCTGTAACTTTTGAACCATTCGATTGATATGGATGAGCTGTATGAGAAATTTGTGCGGAATTAAACATAGTTTAATATTGTAACACATCACAAAGCCCTACAGCAACTCTGTATTCCTAAAAATTGGTATCAAATATTACAATTCTGATGCTTCATATTTTGCCAGGTTAGTACATCAATATGAATAATTATCTGCAACTTTTGAACTATTTGCTTAATTTATATGATGTGCATGGCAAATTTGTGCAAAATTAAATAATGCATAAAATTGTCTCACACCATAATGCCCTACTGCAACTCGGTATACCTAAAAAACGATATTCAATAGTACAATCCTAATGGTTCACTTCTTGCTAAGGCAATACGTCACTCTAACTTATGGCTGCAACTTTTGAACCATTTGTTTAATATGAATAACGTATATGGGAAATTTGTTTAAAATTTAATACTGCATAAAATTGTCTAACACGATAATGCCCTACATCAACTTCGTATACCTAAAAAGCGATATTGAATATTACAATCTCAATGGCTCATAACTTGCTGGGGTAGTACGTCACTCTAAAGTATTGTCTACAACTTTTGAACTGTTTGTTTTATATAAATGATGTGTATCAAGAATTTGTGCAAAATTGAGTATTGCATAATATTTTCTAATAGTTTGATATAATTTTTTAATAAATTTTAATAAATAAACAAAAATCTTAAATGCGGGCATCCGAAAGCGTTTTGTGGGCGACCAAGATTCGTTTCTTCAGTATTATCGAACTAGAGAAATATATGTGGGTCACAAAAAAATCAACTTCAAATAATTAATTAGCACCAAAACTATACAACAATTAGTATACTTTAAAATCTAAATTTACATAAACAATATTTAAAGCAAAATATCATCCTTCACACTATTATTTTAGTTATGGATATGTGCATGCAAGTTCAGTGTGTTCTTTGTTTAATTTTTGGATATTATAAATTATTATTATTATTTATGATAATAGATTATTGTTTATTACTTATATTGTCCTCCAGAATCGCAAAGATAAATTTCACAGAATGATAAGGGTCTGCTTTCTTCGAGAGTGGGCTGATAGTGGATGACCGCCGCATTCGGGCCACTTGCACTAATCGTTGGAAAACTTAGACTAATAAAATCTTCTTGCTCCCTAAAAAAATATAAACAAAGTTTTTATGAAAATTAAAGAGAACTTTAATAATATCATATAAAAGTATGCATATATTTCAAAGTAATAGCACCTAGATTAATAGCATTATTTATTTAACTGATTTTCAAAGAATCTATAAAAACCAAGAAATAAAATAAAACACAAATTTAAAACAGTGTCGATTAAAATTTTAAAGTTTCAATTTATATATTAAACGAAATGGAAAATTACTTCATACAGAAACACAGTATCAAAAACAATAAAATTCAAAACGAAGGGTATAAATATATAAATAATAATAATGAAACATAATAAAATAAATAAGTTAAAAAATTAATCAAAATCAACAAAAATTTACCATCAAAAGATGAAAGATTGTTTATTGAAATAATTGATAATATGATGATGACTCAAAAGGCAAAGTTGCATTTATTTACACAGTAAAGTCTCATCTTCATTTTTGAATTAAATATTTAGTTTGCTCGTCAGTAGAGTCCTCTTCTTAATATCAAAATTTATATTTAATTTGACATTTAAGATTAAGACTACTCGTCAGTAGACTTCCATATTTATTTTTGAAGTCATTATTTAGTTTGCTCGTCAGTAGAGTTTTTTTATCATCTTCTAGGTCAATATTTAATTTGCTCGTCGGTAGAGTTCTTTATTTATTACTTTTTTATCTTATAATTAGGTTTAATTTGTTAGTCAGTACAGTCCTCTTTTTAATATGAAATATATTAATTTGAGATTGTTTTAGGGCGATACATAAAAAAATCTAAATTATATATATAGTATAATAAATGTGCAATTAATTAAAAATTAGTTTTGTAAAAAAATTAAAAAACCATTTTAAAATCTGTACTTTCAAAAAAAAAATCAACACTTCATGACGAAATATTGTTTTATGATTCGTTTCTCCAAAACATGAACAACTCGTTTTGCCACATCACTCCCCTTTCACCCTTGCTTATATAATGAGATAAGAAAAAAATAGGTTAGAGATACATCTACAAAAAATGGAAGAATAATATTATAAACATATGTTTTAGTTTAATAATAATTATATGTGGTTCTTGTATTTTATCTAACTTATTTGTATTTATTGATAAGCAATAAAAAGTTGCGTTTATTTAGACAAAAAAAAAATTAACTGTCAAAAGCAAATTCAGAAAATTTCCAAGAATCACATATTTTTACTTTATGCAGCACATTATGATTATTAGTATTAAAAGAAGATTTGAGTTAATAATGTGTTCCGAATACATAGTTTTGTATTGATTTGGATTTTTTGACTTTGAACTATGAAGAATTATTCTCTTGTATATATATTGTAAACTATAAGCTAATATAACAACAATTGCAATCATCTCAATTAATTTTGTAAACAATTTTAGTTGTTTTGGTATATATTGATATTTCTATGTTATATCTTCTAGTTGTCTTGTATTTATTTTTGTAAAATTGTGTAAAAAATTTTATAAACAAGTGCTAAATTTTGACATAATACAACGTCAAAACGTATATTATGAATAGTTATAATATATATATATATATATATATATATATATATATATATATATATATATATATATACTTACGTTCTGAACTGATCCAATTTTGATAAAACACTATACTCAGTACAACATCCTTTTGGCATCTCTTCATATAACCATGCAAAAAATTTGCAAACTGCCACTCCGTCCTTGACGTGAGCGTTGATCATCCCCTAAAAATTCATAAAAAAATTGTAAACTAGTTGTAAGTGATATGTATATACATATAATCAACTTAATCAATAAGAATTGATAAATTTATTTATATTTATCTTTTTTCCTACTTGACTCTAAAAAGTGTGAACTATACTAAATTCCATACCAAAAACCATATTTTTTCAGATATTTTATATGGTACGTGTGATAAAATCTCGTTATGGAAATTAGTATACTATACTTGTTTCAATACAAAATTGAATTTTCCACAGACGTTCTGCATAGTGTCGGTGTGGAAATCTTTGTTTGGAAACTAGTATAGCATGTAATAGTGTATTGTAGTGAATTAAGTTAGAGATTAGTGGGAATTAGTTGTAAGTGGCACTTTGCCTATTAATCTTACTTCGACCTCGACATCGTTTTTGATGCATTTCGCTTGAGTGATGGGATTTGGCATAGTGAATCTTTTTTCTGCTGGAACTGCTGCAAAAAGTCCATAACTCGAATTTGGGGATATCCAAATTTTACCAGAAATGCACGGAATCTATAATAGAAATAGGTATATGTGTACAAGGTGTCCCAGAATTCAACGGGATGATTTTAATTTATCTCCTGTAACGTTCCTAAAGAAGTTTTACTTAAAGAAAAATTTTTTTGTACTTACCATTTCTTCTAAATTCTGTTTGGCACACTCATAATGTCGAATATCGACTTTGAGATTTTCGCAATTGAAGTGACTTAAGACTTTGCAATCCAACTTCTTTTTATTGATGAACAAAATGAGGTTGTCCATTGCCAAAAACAGAAAACTGTAGAAAACTGTCGAACAGGAGATGTCGTAACCTCGAAGGTTGAGCAACCCTGGATAAAAAAAATATGTAAAAAAATACCACTTACATGCTATATCATACACAACATTCTTATAAGAAACACTCATGTACTACAACTGAAATATTTATTAAAACTAGTGGTGTATGCATCGTGCCTTAGGGCAAATATCGTGATGAAATTTTAAACTAAAGAATTTTTTTCAAATATATTATTACAAATACTGCAACATTCCTTATTTTTGCTATCTTTTGTAATATCTGAGATAATCAAATGTAAATCATAACTTAATTCAGTTCAATCTCCAGAACATTAACATTAGTCATTTCATTTCGAATTCAATTTCAAACAAAAATAGTTGCCTAATTCACATAAAATTGAAAAAGTGCGTCCGTACAGTCTAAACGCATTTGCAAATAATTCTGTGCGATATTTTCACTTATACTGTGCTTGGCTTGGCGGCATTTTCACATTTTTCAACAGTTTTCACAAAATTGGAAAAGTGCACCAGTACTTAAAAAGTCTAAACGCACAAACGGTAAACATTTGTACCAGAGTGGCACTTAGACTGTGCTTAGCCTGGGTAATTTTTTTATTTTTTAATCCATAATTACAAAAATTATATGAAAATTAAAAAAAGATGTAATAATTTTTTTATTATATTATATTATATTAAAAGCAATTGTTTTGTCAATACAAGCAGAAAGTTTTCATCATTCAAATCGGACGCTTAGTTCAGTCAAAAACTGCAATTTTTTGCACATTTAGCTCTGTATCTTCGAAATGACGAAACCTGCCTTTGCCAAAAACTAATCATCTCTTCCCCCAATCATTACAAATTGATTGTTTTTTAGATCATTCAAATCCGATACTCCGTTCTCTCAAAAACTCGATTTGTATTTTCTGCACTCTTTGCTCCGTATCTCCGTAACGACCGGGCCTGACTTTGCCAAAAACTAATTTGCACATCTCCCTATTAATAAGGATCGAATGTTTTTTAAACCATTAAAATCGGTTGATCGGTGCGCCCGAAAACGTGGACGAAAAAATGCGGACATACAAAACACACACACAAGCATACACACACATCCATTTTATCTGAGGTATGCCATAATGTTCAGAAACCTTCAAAACGTCGACAAATGCAAAATTTTCATTTTCGATTTTCGGCCCATTACTATAACTACCCTACGGGAAGTTAATAATGAAATTAAAGTCATACTTCAAATATGACATGATCGGTTTGTCATTGTAATTAGCATTTAGAAATGAACTTTCATTAGAGAAATTGCTGATTAATAAATTCTATAATATTCGTTCACACAGTGGATTATGTTAAACAACGCCTAAAAAAATATTGTTTTTGCAAATTAACTCATCCTGTAACAATTGTGTTTGAAGAACTTCATGCAATTAAAATTAACATACATTCATTGATTGCTTGTATTTTTTTACTTTTTCCCTGGCAATATAATCTCATTCTTTGAACATCTGTAATATCTGTCTTGCCTAAAAAAAAATTTTCATTTCAATAACTTCAAAGATTCATAGAAACTACGAATAATGTAGAAATAATTTCTAATCAATAAACTTACGTTTAGTACACGGCACAAATGCTTAATTTGTTTTATTATTTTCAAGGAACAGGGTAAAATATTCTTCTGATTCAAGTATTTATCATTAAATCAAGATTTGTACTATGATGTAACTTTGAATTTTTTATTTATCTATGTCGATTTCCTTGTTGATACCCGGTACGCATACAACGACAGATCTCTATTTACATACACGACCACTAATCACAATCGACTCGTATAGAAATGATATCATCGAGAGCGAATGACAAACAGTTCGGGCGTTCCATTTGTACGGATTTACACCCTAGTCGGGCCTAAAGAAGTTTTACTTAACCTTTTTTAACCACTTACATGCTATATCATCCAACAAAGTCACCACCAGCAAATCCACACCATTCTCCTTCATCTTGCACCTGATGTCTGCAATTTTATCACTGCTGCTTTTTCCTGCAAATTCCATTTCCAAAGGCCAAATTTTGTCTTGGTTGTCCCCTGGCCTATCACTGGCCCAGACGACGTCTACCAAATTAATATCGACTGGCACAAATTGGATACCAAAAGTCGCCAATTTTTGTTTGATGAAGTCTGCTTCACGATATCGCAGAATCATTGGATCGAATCCAACTCTAGATCCTTTTGGTAGGTTTTTGGACAACCAGTCGGATATTTTTGGAGTTTCTGGTAAACCTGTGTAAAAGGGTAAAAGGGTGAAAGATTTAAGAGGCACAACTAGTGTAACCGCCTAAATAATAGGTGATTTTTGGGAATTTATATTAAAAAACATACTTTATCAATCATTACAAAATTTTAGGCATATATTTATACATGTTTTAAGAATACATAGTAAAATTTTTGAAGAAAAAAATTAAATATTTTTTGAGTTATCGTCGATCTCCAACGGCGCAACAAAAAAAATGCCCTTCACTGCTGCAGTGATTCCGGCCTTCTACGTGGATGAAATTTAAAAAAAAAATCTCGTTAAACTAGATAATATTGTCTGTAAAATGAACTACAATAAAGAAAAAAAACAAAAAATGACAAAATGACGGCGTTTTTTTTAAAAAAAAGTCGAATTTTACCCAAATTTTGGTCGTTTTGGACTGCCAAAATTCGATTTTTGATCCGATCAAAAAATCGATGGTTCATTTTACGGAGAACTATATATAGAACATGTAAAAAAAAATGATAGTGATCGGATCATTTGTTTTTGAGTAATAGCTGCAGCAAATTCGGAAAATGCTGTTTCGAGAAGAACGCGTTTAAAGATTATATAATCGTTATACTATATACTATACATATACTCTTTAAATGGCTGTTACTCAAAAACTATTTAACACATCGATTTAAAATTTTGGTATGTTATTTTTAAAGGTATAACCTATCGAAATATGGAAAAATTGAAAATTCGATTTTTTGAAAATTTCACACTAGTTGTGCCTAGGGAATGCAATACCGATGGAAAATTTCAATACCGGTATTTCGGTGATTTTTCATTTTAAAACCGGTGTAAATTACCGGTATTTTTATTATCTTAAACAAACGTAAACCAAATTGAAAGTTACTAGTACAAATATAAAAAAAATGTATATTCAACTAATCGATAAAAACAATAAAATAAAACATTAAGTTTATTTTTTTAAATAATAATTTAACAAAAGTATATCCAATTTAATTAATTCATTATCACTATCGAGTATATTGAGTGCTTTTCACCAAAAACAAACTCATGAGTAAGAAAGACCAAAAACTCATAAAATATCATATTACATTATTATAATAAACTGTATTGTCTGTATCCGATGTGTTAAATTAGCATAATCTCAAATATTTTAAAAAAATAATTTTTCTACACTAATTTAAGATCGGATTCTTTGTCGAGATAATAATAAGTTACTATAATTGAGTTATTTAAAACAATGTGATCTTCTATAGTATTTCAAACTTCGAAACGTTTTCGAAAAATAATATTTTATAATTGTAGTAAAAGCAAAAATATTTAGTAATTATCATAATTATTATGTATAAAGTTAGAAAAAAATAAAGATTACGCAGGGGTAATCTGTATGATATAAAATATTTTGGGGCAAATGTCACTTAAAAAACTGTTACATTTTTACAAAAGATGAAACAAACATCATTATCTATCAGTCCAATTCTATTTATTGTAACACGATATGAAGCCCTTTGGAAAGCAATAAATATTCAGTTTAATGACGAGTTGAGATAATATCTGACATTTGTTTATCCTATAGAATCACTTGAAGATATAGCTGTTTATGCGATTATGGAATTTAAAGATAAATTTGTTCCGAGAAATTTAGACTTTAGTGTATTATGTATCAAAAAGCGCTTATGTGAAAATACCGAAAATACCGGTATTTTTGAGATAAAAACCGGTAAAAATACCGTAGAAAAATCGAGCGGTTTACTGGTAATTCGGTATACCGGTGTACCGGTATAGCATTCCCTAGATGTTTTTTTTTCATTTTTTCACCTGCTTTCATGAGCGTCCAATTGGCGTCCAAAGCCTTCTCGGCCGCCAAATGGTACCTTCCATCAGTCCACAAAAGTGCGTCTTTTTCCGTCACGACAGCTTGGCCTGCTGATCCGGTAAATTTGGTCAAAAAGTGACGACGTTCGTACATTTTACTAGGGTATTCGGTCTGAGAAAAAAGATGAATTTGGTGAGAAATTAGGCTAAGAAAAACTTGGGTAAAAGTGGTAGCTTGTTTTGTGTATTTATTTATTGTATTTGTTGTAACTTCTACAAGGTTTGTCTGATTGTAACAAATTGTTTGAGGAATTTGTAGAGAATTGATTTGTGTATAATATTGTTTAAGTTTATAACGCTCTACAGCAACTCGGTATACTTTAAAATTAATTTATTCTAGTATTTTATTAATTTATTTTTATAATTAATGTTATGTCGTTAATGCAACTTGCTTCGACTTTGTATCTCTTGTAACTTCCAAAAGCTTTGTCTAATTTGAATGTAATATTTGGCAAATTTGTTTAAAATTGTATAATGAATAACTCTTTCTAAGAAGTTAGTACTCTACGACAACTTGGTATACTTCAAAATAGATTTATCTCGACACCTTATGAAAATTTATTGATGTCGTTAATGCAACTTGCTTCGACATTTATTTGATATATCTCTTGCAACTTTTGAACCATTTGTCTGATTTAATTGGACTATGTGGCAAATTTGTACAAAATTGAATAAAGTATTATATTGTCTAAGGTTATGATGCTCTACAGCAACTCGATATATTTTAATTTGAATTTTTCAATGTACTCCTACGCAATTATTTGACAAAAATCGTTCATTTGATGGTTACTGGTATCTGAACGTACTTATTATATCTCTTGTAACTTTTGAACAATTTATCTAAAATAAATCGAATATTTAGAAGAGTTCATACAAAATTAAATAAAAAACACTTTTTCTAACATTATAATGTTCTACAGCATTGATTTAATAAAATACTATGAGTGACTAAAATTGTAAACTGGAAACCAAATTTATTTACAGTATTCCTTGTGAATTTCAAACAGTTCGTCTAAAATAAATTAAATATTCGACAAATTTATACAAAATTAAATTGTCTATATTATTTGCTGATATTTATTTGCCATATAAAAACTTATTACACTTAAAATTTATTTATAAGTACATCTGATTAAATTAATAAAAAATTCCTTGATATGAACCTCATCTCTACATTTATTTAATTAATAGTTTGTAACTCTTAAACTGTTTTTCTAATGTAAATGAAATATTTAGCAAATTTATATAGCATTAAATAAAGAATACAATTTTCTAACATTATAATGCTCTATAGCAAGTTGATTTACTCTAAAATAGATTTATAAAAACGCCTTATTAAAACTTAAACAATTTTCTCCTTGATATGAAACTCGTCTCTACATCTATTTATTAAATCGTTTGTAACTTCAAATGGTTTGTCTGAATTGAATGAAATATTCAGAAAATTTGCATAAAATTGAATAATATAAAAGTTTTTCTAAGATATTAGTGCTTTACAATAATCGTTGTACTTCAAAACGGATTTATAAATACACCTATTCATGAAAATCGTTTCTTGATATAAAACTTGCTTCCGCATATATTTAATGCAACTCTAGTAACTTTAATACGGTTTGTTTAATTTAAATTAAATATGTAGCAAATATATAAAAAACTAAATAATTAAAATTATTTTCTAACATCATGATGCCCTACAGAAACTCGATAAACTTTAAAATTTATTAAAAAACTAGAGACAAAATTTTTGTAACAATTTTATGTAATTGTATAAAATCATTTACATCAAATATTAGCAAATTTGTGAAAAAATAAATAATTAAAATCATTTTCTTAGATCATAAAGCTCTACACTAACTGAGTATACTTTAAAAAAAGCAATTGAAACTGTTAAATTCATATAAATTCGCAAATGTTATAATCACGTATTTACATCAAATTATTTGATTTGATTTTATTCATAATATAATATTTTTATACTATTCAAATGCTATAAATAAAGATTTATATTATTAGTATAAAATTTATATTATTTTTACAAAATTTAGCTTTATTTGGTTTTCCCATAAAATCGAGTCCGGCGATTCCGGTTAAACGCCAGTCAAGGGAAAAATTGTGCTCGACTCAATAATAATAGTGAAAATATTAGTGCAAATTTAATACACATTCAGAACATTAGTGCCCATTTAATATACATTCTTAAACACTATATGCATATTACTAAATATGCAAAAATCAGTATTTAAACGTAAAAAAAAAACAAAAATACTAAAAAATCAATTTTGGATGTATCATTGACTTACCTTGCAAAAAGGTAACAAATAGCTACAAATATTTGCACTTTAATTTTAAAAAATAGGTACACGTAATTATATACGTTCTATTTCTATAAATATTTCATAAAAAGTTCATAATTATTACTAAATCATTTTTAGTTTAGAGCTTTAAAGTGTGCGCGTAAAATTTTGTTCGTCAACTTGAATCGTGCCATTATTTCAGTTTTTTTTTATTTATTTATGATTTATTGGCTAGATATTATGTAATTTAGTATATGGCTAATGTATTAGTTGAATGCCAACTCGCAAAAAAACATTTTTTTTTAAATTTATAGTTCAACAAATAATAATGTTTAAATAGATCAAAATCGATATAGAAATTATTAATTACTTGTGAAATGTAAAATGATAAAAAATTAAAGTACTTATATCAGTTTTGAAATTATTATTGACTTACCTTGCAAAAAGGTAGTAAATAGTTACAAATATTAGTTTTTCAGAAAAAAAAAATATGTACACATAATTACCTAGGTTTTGTAATTATACATACTTCATAAAAGAGTTTTTACACTAATAAAAATTATTATTAAAAAATATCATAATTAAATTCATTATGTTTCCGATAAAATCAAGTCCGACGATTTGTACGTTAAACCCTTAAAATAATATTCAAAAAAATCGTTTTTTCAAGTTAAAAAAAAGTTATGTTGCTTTATAAATTTTTTACTAAACCCGGCATTTGTGTAAAATTCATATTTGATAAATACATAAATATTTATTTATTGCTAGTATTTTTTTTTTAATTACTTGATGAGGGTCTCCATCGGGTACAAAATACGCTTGTATAGGTTCACCTACATATTTCGACTCCTTAAACGTATTTCGTAATTTTTCTAAAATTTCTGTCGTTTCCATTTTTGATAAAAATAATATTCACATTTTGGAAAAACTAAAAACTTTAAAGAACTATTTAAAAAAATTAAACAAATAAAAAATTAAATTAAAGTACTGAAAATTTTACAAAACTATTAAACTACAATGAAAAACACTAAATTTTGTATGAAAAATTTAAAATTTTGTAACTTTTGACAGATGCCTGAAAATTTGATGTATGTCATTTTTTGTCACATATAATACTTATTAATTTATTTTTTATATTTATATTTTTATTTTATTAATTTTATGAATGCTTATATAATATATTGTACGTGAGCAATGCCTAATTGTAAGTTTTTTTAAAATAAAATAAACTTATGTTAAAAGTACAGACTAGAATATGTACATTCTATAAAAACTGTTTATAAATAAATATTATATACACACATACATACACTCATACATATGTATATATTAAGGTGGTCCTTAATATGGACATTATCGAACTTAAATATAGGTCGTATTATTCCAACTTGATTAGATTTTTACTAGTACCTACTAATAAATATATAGTTATACTAACTAACTAATTTATTAAATAGTTACTAATCACAAATATTATCAATTGTACCTTTAAAATTATTTTCTAAATAGTTAAATGCTATTTAGTGACGTAATTCGCTAAAATTAAATTATTTTCAAACTAACTAAGCAAAAATTAGGATTAAAAATAAATATTTAGATTTATCTATATACTTACTTGTTTTTTGTATTTAAGTTTAATTTATTTGTTAGATTTTTTCTAAAAGTATTATAGATTTTTTTTTATAAAATTTGACTATATTAGAATATGTGTACTTAATACAATTTTTTTAAAATTTATTTATTTAGTTGATTATTTAAAGTAACCGAGAAATATAATATGTTATTTTACTAACATGATTGCCATTGTGTTTGTTTATTGCTTTATTTATTTTGTAATTATTTTTAAATATTATAGATTTTCTTTTAAATTAAATTCGAAAGATTAAATTTAAAATATGCGAATTCTTGGATTTAAAACCCTTTGTATCACTTTATATAATTTTTTAAAGATATTCAAAAATGAAAAATGAAAGAAAAATTAGTTCATCTTTCATTTTTATAACAAATTATAATCTTACTCTTATTTTAATGAAAATCGGATAAAATTGAATACCCAACAAAATTTTTATTTTTATTATAATATCTAACATTTAGTCAGAGTAAGAAGATAATAGACAAACCTTATGCATGAAAAATCTATATTTTTTATTTTTTGTTTAAATTTCTGTCGATATTCTTATTAATTTTCAACAAATTTTGGTGACAAGGATACTTAGTATTTTAATTTACTAGTAAGGTAATTTATATTTATATTTTATCATTGATTTATTATTATTTCTAATAGTTTACTCATTTCTTAATCAATCATTAGTATTTTACCGAAAAAATAAAACGTTTTTTCCAATTGGTTAAATCGATAAAAAATATGTCAAAATAACCTTTAAAAAATGTTTAATATACCCAAAATAAAAATTACTAAATTTCGTAGTGTATTGTATTTTTATATCCATTTTTATTAGATGTTTTTTAAATAGCAAAGACAAAAATTTGATTAAATCAATTTAAGTACGTATTCATACGACTATTATATAAAAAAGTCTAAAATCTTAAATCTAAATTTCTACGTTCGTTTCTTGTATAATTTTGTAGCTTCAAAAGTTTTTAAAGCCGATAAAAAGATTGTCATGAAGGTGTAAAATTTAGAACAAATACGCTTTACTCTGTATAAATTATTACAGCAAATCACAGATGGTGTTAGTGTGCTTCAAATTCATCTTAAAACACAATTTCTCTGGATACAGTACACGTACTTTAAACGCTCAAGTACCAATTTTATATATTGAAAAATATCTTTTTTGAATGAAAAATTTAATTTAATTTTTTCTTACAACATATTTGTGATTTTGTTGAAAATATATTTTACACGCGTATATTTTGTTATCATTTCATTCAGTCAAATTAATCAGGTTTATTTTTTCTATATTTTACATTTATATAAATCTTATCGGAGAATTGAACCTAAGGGTAAATTTACGTGCTACGGTCGGTGGCGACATCTATGATATGCTGAAAGAATTAAAATTGATGTAATTTTAAAATGACTGCGTTTTCTGAATAGTTGATTCATATTCATTTATCTATGGAGATTGTCAAGGATAGGAACACTTAAAAATAAATTGGTGTAAGGTTACTTACTACTATATTATTATAAATAAATATTCTTATAAATATTTATAAGTACGTCATATAAATGCTCAACATTTATCACTCAGCACTTGGCTATTAAATAAAATTTTAAACTAATTTGTATTTAGTCTAAGAATCCAATTTTTCTGCACAATAGACCAATGTTATGGCAAGGCCATGTTATTAAAAAAAATTCTATACTTAATATTGTCAAAAGCCATGCGGTTGCTGTGCAGTCAGGAGTATTTCTTAAGTTGTTAGAGAGAAAAGCTAACCCAGAAACCGCACAAAACGATGTTAGATAACAGGGTCTTTCTGACTCAGCTTCATAACATACGAATGACGTTGCAGTTTATGCGTAAAACACCTGAATGCACAGCAAATACAAGACATTTTGACAGTATTCAGTATGATTCAGTAGCATAATGTATAGAAGCATGTCCTAGCCATATCTTGGTCTATTTTATCTCAGAATCGGTCCCTAAATCTATGCCTTAAATCTAATCTTATACCAATAATTATTTTTAAAATAATTATTGTATATATTAATTACCAATCTAGTGTCTCTTCAGTGGCTTCCCTGAAAGTTTTGCTCTGGTCCGAGTAAAACTGTTGATACCATGTACGGTACCTTTTTATCGATTTTTCTTCCCTTAGAAAGTGAGGGTTGTTCATGTATTTTTTGTGGTTCCAAATTGCTATGTCTCGCTCAAACTAGAAAAATAAATAAATAAATAAATTATGTACATATTAAAGTGGTCCTTAATATGGACATTTACCAATGTCTTTGCTCCCAAGAGCTTAAACGCTTCCAAAGTAATAAAATAAAATTCTGTGAAAGTTTTAGATCTTAATATTAACATTTAGATAGTCCGCAAGTCAATTAAAAGTTTCGTATATTATTATTACCATATATCCTTGCGCCATCTGTGATAGCATTTGTGAACTCACTTAATTTTTTTTTTAAAACACTTAACCTCTAATTAAATCCATGTGGACTGTTTAACAAAATATTTATTCATCATGGCGTCAAAATTAATTTTGCAGAAAAATATTTATTTAATCGATGATTTTGACGCTCAAATTATCAGTAAAAAATGTCCATCAAAATTACAAGTCTGCTATCACAGATGGCGCAAGAACTTACTTAATAACTAAACTGCATACTCTATTTTTATTAGTTGTGAATCGACCGTTGGATATGATTTGAGAAGTACTTTTGAAAAATGTTTTAAAAATATACAATATTATACTAGAGCTATGAAATTTAAGTATGTTATTACCTAGTATGTGTACTCAATTATAAAAATATTAAATCACACATGTTTCTAACAAATAAAGCTATAAATGTGCAATTCTGTAAAAAATGCACTCTTGCAATAGTTGAAAGTCCACGGTTTGATGAGTATTTTGGAAAATATTTAAAAATATAAAACGTTATACTAGAGTTACAAAATTTTAGTATGTTATTTCTTAATATGTGCACTAATTTTTAATTGAATTGTTAACTAAACTTTTAATTAAATTGCGGACTATCTAAATGTTAATATTAAGAGCCTAAATTTTTAGACAATATTTGTTTATTATTTTGGAAGCGTTTGAGCCCTTGGGAGCAAAGAAAAATTTAAAATGTTCATATTTAGGACCACCCTAATATATATATGTAAAGAAAAATGCCTAATTTTCTTTAGTTTAAAATTTGCGCGTTATGATTGTCATAGATACAGCTCCTATGATATTAGGATAGCAAAACAAGTGATAATCTAATATATGTTACAAAATAATAAAATTTTGTGAAAGTAAAATAATCTCTAAAATAGTAAATATTAGTGTAAATGTGTTTAGGAACTGACATTGTGATTAATATCATTAAATGTCGTTTCTTTTCTAACTGGCATATAAGGTTTTGTATTTAAAACTTTGTCTAATGTAGAACTAACAATAAAATATAACTTTTCTAACAGAGAAACTCAATTGTGTTTGATTGGCTTTGTCACCTTAAGCACGAATATAATCTTATATATATATATATATATATATATATATATATATATATAAATAAATAGATATACTAGCTAACCCGGCAAACGTTGTTTTGCCATAAAAAATTTGCCTAAAATGATAAAAAATTAATAAAAATGCCAAAAATCAAATATTTATTAGATTTGGACTCTGATTCTTTGACAAATAGTTAAAAACTTTTTAAATTTTTTAAAATTATCTGACATTTCATACTTCAAAAATTAATTCACTCGCATCATAGTTTTTTTGTTTATTATAATTTTGTCATGTCATATATGTCAATAAAATTTTCTTTCAAATATTATTTATTTGTTAATAAATTAATAATTATTTTAAGTCATCAATGAATAATTATATAATTGTTAAATTCATAAGTTTGGCTAAATCAACACAGGAATATTGTGGGAATGAATATTTTTTTACATAAAGATCTGATTTTTGACATTTGCATCTTATTTCAAATTAATTATATTGTCAAAATTTTTTTTTTTCGGTCAAAATTTAATATAATATGATATAATTTTGTTTATTTTAATTTTGTTTATGTCATTTTTTTTAATTAAAGAATAAATTAAATTTTAGTCTAAATCAACGCAGTATCTTTATCTAAAATATATGTTTTTATATAAATATTTGATTTTTTACATTCGCATTTAATTGAAAAATAGTGAATGTCAATTTCATATATCCAATATGCACTAAATTTATAAATGTCAAAATATTTCCTTCTTGGTCGAAAATTAATA